GGGCCCGGCCTGGCAGGGGGACGGGGGCTAGCAGCGCGGTGCGGGGCTGCGGGGAGGCGGGGAGGCGCCTCCGGGCGGTCGGGGCGCGCGGCAGGTTTAGCTGTCCCCTGCGAGGGTGGCCGTGGCCACCCGGCGCCGCGTCCCCCATTGTCCCCTTCCCGTCCGCCCGCCGTTCTACCAGAGGACCCGCCGCCGCCTGCGTCGCCGCCGCGGTGCTGGCTGCTGCCGGGTTGCGGGCTTCCCTTGGGCACGCTCGAACCCCGGGCAGCTGTTGCTGGCCCCAACGGCCCCGCACCCCGCAGCCCGCAGCCCCGCACCGCAGCTGCGGAGTTGTGTGTATGACCCTTGTTCTGCGGTCGCGTTTGCCGGGCGCCGATGACCCTGACCGTGGGCTGTGTTGGAGGCGGAATGCTTGCGCTAGAGCAGCGATGATGATGGGGTCCATGTTGCCTAGGAGCGTTGTGTAGTCAGGGAAGCGGAGGCGCGGGGCTGTGACTCGGCTCGGCGCCGCCTGGTCCTTGGCCTTTATCAACCCCACGCGCCCCTTGGAGCTCAGGGATGCCCCTGCGATGCTCTCAGGATAAAAACAATAATGTAAACAGCCTGCGTTCGCTTCCCACCTCCAGGTCTTTTTTGTAACCATAAAAGGCCGTGAATTTGTCCTGCAGCGAAAAGGATGACCTTTTGATTTAAAAAAAAAACCAAAAAAATATTATCTTTCTAGGTTCCCTTACTTAAATTACCTGTTTTTGAGCTTCTCATTGTGGTGCAAGAGTAACCAAGTGTCATTCTTTTTTGCACCACAGCGGTGACTGCGAAGTTACTTTTCCCATATGTTGGGGGTGGGGCACACAACGAGGAAAAGGTACATAATTGGGGTTGCGCAGTGTTGTATCGCTTCTCTTGCAGCCGCCTCCATAAAAAAATTAATGGAGTCTGCTTTGAATAGGATGCCATAAAAAGGACTTTAAAACGTATTGTGTCTTTACTAGGCCAAAAAAATCATGTTTTTATAAATAGTACTCAAGGTAGATATGTCAACCATTTATTCTCCCAGGTTATGATCTATTTTAAATAACTATTTCTGCCAAAAGAAAAAACAGAAGGTTTGCTCAGTCTCCTAGACATATAAATATAGTGAGTCTTGAGGATTGGTACCACTGGGACCTATTGCATGCAGTCCTTCTTTAAATACCTTACTGTTGAATACTATTTTTTTTCTCCTGGAGCCCAAGTTTTTCTTTTTGTCTCGTAGAACAGTGCTGTTATGTGCATATTCTGAGGGGGAAAATATATTTGATTTAAATTCTTGAAACTTGCAGCCTGTATTTTGTTTCTGAATATGCAGAGCACGATGGCTGCGCCTGAGGTAGCTGGTGTTGTGGCCAATCCTCCCAGTCCTCCGGAATCCTCTTCTAGCTTATGTGCTTCCAAATCTGACGAAAGCCTCCCCGAAGGTCTAAGGTAATGCGTGGATTCTCTAGGGGAAGATTCATTTGGGGCGATAAGTCCTGGGTAAAGGGCTTTGGAAGTGGGGCTCTGTGAACTGATTTTTCCTCTTTGGGGGGCTGTGGCACTGCAGTAGATTAAAAAGGGTGCTAAATGTTCATTGAATAAATAGGATAGATTGAGATTAATTCATCAAAAATGCAAGTATTTCCTCACTCTGACCTGCATTGATTGTATATTTATATGCTGTACTCATTTACATAATACTTCGTTATAGAGACAGTTGAGGATATGTGCGGAGATATATCTGAGGATGTAGAAACCTGCAGACAGATATGTGCATCCATCTAGATAGGCTTGTTTTTTTTTTTTTTTTTTTTTTTAAATTTATTTATTTATTTATTTATTTATTTATTTTGTGTGTGTGGCCAGTTCAGCCCACCAGGGGGCGGGGCTGGCTGGCATGTGGTGCTGGGGATTGAACCCAGGTCCCTGTGCTTTTGCTTAGCTTAGCTTGTTCTAAGTAGGTGCTTTAGACCACTGAGCCATCTCACCAGCCCAAGATAGGCTTGTTAATATGGCCTGCCACTTAGATGTACAGTTTGCCTCCTAGCCAGACTTACTTTCTTTTTTTTTTTTGGTCTTTTTGAGACAGGGTCACTCTGTGCAGCTCAGGTTGGCCTTGAGCTCACTTTGTAGCCCAGATTCACAGCTATCCTCCTGCCTCAGCCCCATCCAAACTCTTGAGGGCAGGAACTTTACCCAACTTGACCTGTTACAACAGCCACTATATTGTTTTGTGTAATGTTGACCCAATTGATTGGAGTGCTTGGGACCTATATGGTCGGAAATACTAACAAACGTATTAACACATTTAACTCTAGAGGCTAATATTCCCGGTTACACATGAGGAAACTGCGATACAGAGAGGTTTGTAACTTGCCCAGGTTATCAAGCTATGTTGGACTCAGGGTTGCTTGAACCCAGGGTACTTAATCAATACTTGTTTGAAAGAAGAGTTATTTATTATTAGGGAATGTGTAGTGGGAGAAGGTGATATATAAACATAACCATAAACTTAGATTTTTTAGGCTTTTATTTTATAGTAAACCATGTGCTGCTAGTTATAATAATTGCAGCTGAGGGTTACTGAGTATTTGCTGTGTGCTGAGCACTCTACTGAAGTTCAGTAATCCTCAGGATAATCCTGTGGAAGTATAATTTCTATTTTACAGTGAAATAATTTGATAGACTCAAACAGCTAGCAAATGGTAGAGTTAGGACCCAAAGCCAAGCACTGTATATACCTAGCTTCATAATTAAGTTACCTCCCCCATGTTTCACTTGATTCTCAGCAGCGAAGGCATCAATTAGGGCCAGCTAGATAGCTCAGTGGACTAAGTGCCTCCTTTGGCAAGTGCAGGGACCAGGGTTTGATCCTTGGACCCGCATGCCACGTTGGCCTCAACCCCAGGGTGCACTAAGCCGGCAACGTGATGGTGCAAGTCTGTAATCCTAGTGCTGGGGAGGCTGAAAACTGAAGGATCACTATGAGTCTGAGCTATGTAGTGAGACCCTGTACCAAATACATAAAATGAAGTAAATAAGTTTTTAAAAAAGGAATCAATGAAGAGTATTACAAAATATTTCCATAGCACAAATATTCTTTCATTTGTTTTAATTTCAACAAATACTATTGAGGAAAGAAAGACACATGGCTTTAAAGCCACAGTTGGTAGTTCGGGATGTTCAACGGATCATTTGACAAATTTGAGACAGGGTGTCACTGTGTAGTTCATGCTGGCCTTGAGTTCACTGTGTAGTCCAGGTTGGCCTCAGATTTAGTCCATGTGATCCTCCTGCCTTAGCCTCCCAAATGCTTGGACTACAGGCATGCACCACCACACCTGGCTAAGACAGCAAGCAAAGGAATTTAGCATAGATTAAATTTCCTAGGTAAAAGACTGATAGCTGTGAATACTGAATGTCATTATGAATTGTTTTTAAAGATCTCTTTTAAAAGCAGTACAATGGGGCTGGCCAGATACCTCAGCAGATTAAAGGGCCTTTTTAGACAGATGTGGGGGCCGCTGAGGATTGAATCTTGGGCCTGCTGTGCCAGCCCCACCCCCGGGGCGGCTGAAACCTGAGGTGGTGCATATCTGTAATCCCAGTGCTTGGGAGGCTGAAAATAGGAAGATCATTATGAGCTCAATCTGTGTAGTGAGACCCTGTAGACCATGTACTAAATACATAAAAGAAAAAAAAAATAAAAAGGAGTACATTGAGCCCAAGATGAATGTGCACACCTATAATCCCAGTACTCTGAAACAATAAGACAGGAGAACCACAAGTTTAACTCCAGCCTGGTCAATTCAGCAAGACTGTCACAAAATAAAACTAAAAGGGCCATGAATGGGGCCGGGGAGATGGCTCAGTGGAATAAGCGCTTCCCTGGCAAGTGCAAGGGTCTGAGTTCAATCCTTGGTTCTGCCCACCTCCAAAAAAAAAAGGGCCATGAATGTAACTCAGTTGTCAAGGCTCTGGCTTCAGTCTCCAGTACTGACAACAACAATAACCACAGCAACAATCCCCAGAAACAATACACTGGCTGGACTGTGGCCTCGGGGAGGGTGTGCTCACTGTGTAGGAGGCCTTGGATTGGATCTCCAGCTCTGGCGGGGTGGAGGTTGGGAGCAATGCCTTATGTGTCTTATGTGTCTGTGACAAATGACAGTACCTGCTGATTGTAAATATAGGTAAATATAGGTATACTTGCTGTCTGTGATAAACTATTGAACATTTTAGTTTAGGATTCAAAATTGTACTCTAGACAATTTGAGGTGATGCTATGCTCTGGAAAACCATTAAAAGAACTGAAGTAGTTCTGATCAAAGCTCTGTTTATCAGTTTTGAAGAAAGGCTTACTTTGTGAAGTAAAAACACTATTTCAGAGTTAATATTTTTTATGAGAATATGTATAATTAGTATGCGTCACTACATATTATGACAAACACTAGGTTATTTTATGTGTTCCCCAAAGCTTATTTCAGTTGGCTCTCAGAATTTTTGTTATCTTCAGAATCATTTATGTTTGGTCATTTACTGTGGATTGACTCATAAGCCAGCTTCTCACCTCTAGACTAGACTACCTGTATGTGGAATAGAAACTAAGTTCTATTTCACTCTGGTAACTGAGAGGGTTTGTATAGTCTAGTTTTGTTTTTCAAGGTAATGTTGAGAGTACTGTGTTAATCATCTTTTTTTCTTCATTTATTTATTTTAAATTCATTTAATCATCTTTTAAGACCGGGAGAGACAAAAATGTTTTTTGTTTGGTGGTAGTGGTGGTTCTCAGAATCACACTCACCTTACCACTGGGTGACACCGCTAGCCCAGAAACTTTCTATCTTTTGTTTTCGATAGCCCCAAAGACCCTGCAGAGAAGCAGAAGAACTCGCCTCCGTCGAGTGTAAGTAGCCAAACGATAACCGAGGAGAATAACAGAAATGTGCATTTGGAACACCCAGAGCAGAATCCTGGTTCATCAGCAGGTGACACTTCAGCAGCGCACCAGGAGGTTTTAGGAGAAAACTTGATAGCCACAGCCCTTTGTCTTTCTGGCAGTGGGTCTCAGTCTGATTTGAAGGACTTGGCCAGCACAGCAGGAGAGGAGGGGGACACGAGCCTCCAGGAGAGCCTCCATCCAGTCACTCGGTCTCTTAAGGCAGGGTGCCATACCCAGCAGCTTGCCTCCGGGAATTGCTCTGAAGAGAAATCCCCACAAGCCTCCATCCCAAAGGAAGGTAGCAGGGACACAGGCTTGGATTTCCGACCTGTGGTGTCTCCAGCAAATGGGGTTGAAGGAGTCAGAGTGGATCAGGATGATGATCAGGATAGCTCTTCCCTGAAGCTTTCTCAGAACATTGCTGTACAGGTCAAGTATCAAGTTTCTACTACTAAAATGGAATTTGGGGGGGTTTCTTAAGGGTAGGAGACATTTCTTCATATTTGGTGGAGAACTACGCTTTATCAGTTTTGCCATGTTCATACAATGCCATGCAATTACTTCATTCTGGTGTTCCATAAATGTCAAAGCCAGTAGCTGGTGTCTAATCTTACGGCAAATAGGGACTTTATGACCTACATATAATTTCTTCGCTGAGTAATTGATGAATGCAGGTCATTAGCATTCATATTTCCATCTTTGTCCTTACAGGAGGAATCCTTAATTCTCTGACCTACATCTTAAGAAGTACAGTGTATCCTGCCTTCTAGTCACTGGTGTGCTCTGTCGTAGGAGGAAGTATGGGCACAATAGGTTGTAGGGGGCAAAATTCTCTTCTCAGATTTGAGGCTTTCTCTCAGACAAATGCTGGGTCTTGTTCAGGTTATTTTGTGGGATAAATGACTAATGCAATGTAGATATTTGTCCATTTATCAGAACTACATTGTTGCTATTTGCCATGAAGCTGATAAGAAACAAAAAGTTTGGTCTCAGTTAGTTGTGGCAGGTCTCCAGGTAAAAGCACTAGAATAATTCTTCATCTTTTAAAATGACTATGAACAGTTCTGGATGTACTTGTTTCTTCCTTTATAGACTGATTTTAAGAATGCAGATTCAGAGGTGAACACAGATCAAGACATTGAAAAGAATCTGGTAAGTATGTATCCTGTCGCTGTTAATGTGAAGCCATTAGAACAGAGCCACGAGACGTGCATAGTCTCAGTTGGAAACCAAGTTGCAGGTATCTCCTGGCAACTTGCACTTGACCATAGAAGCAAGAGTCTTGTTACCTCATACAACCAACTGTTATATTTTGTTAACAGCTTTTTTGGTTAGATCTTATTCTGAGCTAAGGACAGGAGGTCCTTAATCTAGTTCTCTTAAGCTTTCTTGAGTGATTCTAACTCCTCCTTGACTTACTAGTCCTGCATATATTTGAAG